TGACATTCCAACCCAATGTTGGGAGGACCCTAGTCTGGATTTTTTTTTTAGGTGACTCTCTTATAACGATCTATAAGACAGGTCGAATCTAGATAAAAATGTAATATTTATGATATAAAGTGTAATAATAATCACAGATAAATTGATTATTACTTATGATGTAAAATATAGTGTGACACTTTCGAAGAAGAATGTAATACTTTTAAATCGAAATATATTATTTAGTGGTTGAAAAGTTACCTATGAGAAAAATTACAATACTAATCAAGGACAAATTGATTGATTATTATTTATGAGGAAAAACATAATACTTATAAGAAAAAGTATAATACTAATCATGTATAAATTGATTGCTACTTATAAAGGAAAGTGCAATATGTATGATGAAAAAGATGTAATAACACTATTAATCAAGATGTACTATTTAAAGAGTTGAAGAGTTACTTATGAGAGAAACTGTCATACTCATGACAAGAAGTGTAATATTTATGAAGAATAAACGGGATCAGCTGTGTACGCCAAAAGAAGAAGTTTTTGGTGGTGAGTTTCATAGACACAAAATGATGTGCTGTGGATAGGGTGTTTGGGGTGGCCGGAGACGGCACGGTGGCGGCAGTGACAGTCCGTTCACTGGAATTGGTGACATGGTTGGGGAGAGAGAGAGAGAGGATCACCAAAAACTAACTGATACTAGATGAGAGAATGTTTTGGTTAATTCAAATATGATAGATAACACAGAGATACAATAGACACTGAAGTCTAGCCTAACTAAACCTATACAATAGCTAGTAGTTTAAGACTAAATCAACTCTAATTACACAAGTATAATGTGACAATTAAATGTACAGAATATAACATTACTAACAAAGAACCTGATCCGTCTCACAAATGAAGATATATTGTTAGTAATGTTATTATTTTTCATATTCCTATTGTTATAATTATATTTAATAATTGTGTGGTAGCAGGTTAGTCTTCTGTGACTAGCCTATTAGATAGGAGTACTTTAGGTTAACTATTTCTCTTTGTATTGTAATTCCTTATCTCATTGTAACTGAATAGATTTCTACAATCTCATCTATGAGACAATCTCATAGGAGTTTTTGCCATTTTTAACGAGGTTTAGAATTTTTTTGTTTTACATTAGCAATGATTCAAACACATTGTTAGGAACAAGTGTAATTAGATTTTGATGATACCAAACTGTCAGGATTGTAGACCCCTATTTTTCATTCCTTAGATAAGTCTCGTATAACAGACCTATGAGGTGTACAAATCTTGCTCGAGACTAGCATAATATATATGTCTACATGAAGACTTGAAGACGACAAGATGTTCGAAAGATGCTTCCAGGCGAAAGATGGAATGAGTAAGTCTCGGATAGACTTCTTTTGACAAAAAGGATCTCTCGTCAAAAAGAAAGGACGAAAGATAAAGTCAATCTTTCGACCAACGTCTCCGAGTGAACAAGTCAAAGACAGACTTGTAAAAGACAACATTCATTCAAGTGAAGCAATGAGAATGTTGTCTATGACCTAGATGAGCAAATCATTCGGACAAAAAGTGTCCTAGGAATGATCTTCACAAAAGACAAGGAGCATTAAAACACTTGTACCATTTTGTCATAGAACAAGGACAAAAGCCATAATGCTTTTGGCTCCAACGGCTACACAGTACAAGTGCATTAAATGCTCAATGCCCATTGGTTAATACTCACTGGTTATTAGGTTTGAAATTTTCATCTCTCAAACGGATGGATTTTCCACCTATAAATACCTCTCTTCACCATTGAAGAAGGTGCTGGTTATTTTCAATCTTGCTATCCAAAAAAAAAAAAAGCTCTTCAAACAGTTCCATCTCTTAAAGCTTTTCATAACCAGTGATCTTGTGAAGTTTTTCAAAGGCTCATTATTTTCATACTTCACAACTTGAAGCAGTCTTGTAATTTCTCAAGTGAAGATTCATCCAGACTTCAAGACAAGGCTTCAACCTGTTGGAGAAACATCGGAATATATTCCCAACATCTCAACTTAGGGAGAAGTTGATAGAGGCGGAGTAAACTCGAAGAGTTGAAAAACCTGTCAAGTGGCTGTCCGGCTTAGTGATCAAGGAAGTCAGCTTGAAGTAGTTTGTACTAGGAGTGATAGTGCAAACCCTTTCACGAGTTGTGAAAGAAGAGTGGAGTAGGCTTCGTTAACAGCCGAACCACTATAAAAATCTCTCTCTCCATATCTCTTTACTTTCTGCTACATTACTTTCGTGCATTGCATATCATATCAACCAAACGCTAAATCTTTTTAACGAAAATGTGCAAAGATTATCTAAAACGAAACATTATTTCCGCTGTGCATCGCTCCGAAAGGAGTTACTTTAAAAAATCGATTAGAATCTATTCACCCCCCCCCCTCTAGACTCTCTTTCGACCCTACCGGGACCAACACACATAACCTTAAAGTTGTATTTAATATTTGATAGGGAATATACCCCGATTTTGACCGCCATATACGTTCATGCTCTTGTTTTGTAGTCGGGTCAAGGTCAAACGGTTCGGATTATGGTCCAGGGGTAAAAGTCAAACTCGTCACACTTTGGCTTATATACCCCTTCATTTTAGGGGCTTCTCTCTCCTCTCCTCCACTCGCTCTCTCTCTCTCTCTCTCTCTCTCTCTCTCTCTAAAGCATAAAACTCTCTACTCCCTTCGAAAATGCATGAATATTAATGAATAAGAGACCCTTTTGAGATAGATTTTCCCTAGTCTCTATATTGTTCATAGTTTACTTGTACATTACAAGTTACATACGCATCTTATATACACTCTCGATACATACATACGGTATACCCATCTATACACACGGTAATTAACCGTATCAATATTGCTTCCACTTAACAATCACAAACCCTTTATATATAGTGGTTTTGCCATGTTTAGTCCTAAACTTTCGAATTGATCATCTGTGGTCCTTCGACTTTTAAATTTAACCATTTTTTGTCCAAGATAACCACCCGTGGTCCTTCAAGTTTCAAAATTTAACCAGTCGTGGTCCTCTTGAAAGGACCATGGTTGGTTAAAATTTAATAGTTGAAGGACCATAGGTGGTTAACTAGGACCACGAATGGTTAAATTTGAAAGTCGAAGGACCATAGATGGTCAATTTGAAAGTTTAGGACTAAACGTGGCAAAACCACTATACTCGGATGACCTCAGATGGTATTAACTCATATATATATATATATATATATATATATATATATATATATATATATATATATATATATATATATGTATATATATCAGGTGAGATCACCTAGCGTAGAGAGTATAGAGTAGCGTGCGGTTTCGAACCCTCTAGGCCAAGAAAATACTTTTTATTTGTTCCAAAGGGGAAGATTCCTCTATTTTGAGAATTTCACTACTACAAAACACACTTACCACGGCGGTTATTTTTATAAATACATGGCGGTTCTTGAAGTGCCGTGTAAGTGACCGCCTTTGTAAATAAAAACTTTCTACGGCGGTTATTTGAACCGCCGTGTATACTTCTAAAACACGGCGGTTGCTAACCGCCGTCTAATCTCACGATGTATGTCGTGTAATCTCAACAATTATATGTATAGACCGCGCTTTTCTTGAGAAACCGACGTCTATTCATATGTATAGACAGCGATTCAATATAAGAACCGCCATCTATACATATGAATAGACGGCGGTTCAATGTAAGAACCGCCATCAATACATATGAATAGACGGCGGTTCAATGTAAGAACCGCCGTCTATACATATGTATAGACGGCGGTTGTCTTGAGGAACCGCCGTCTATACATATATTTTTCACCTTAAAAGAAAATAAAATAAAATTACATTATATTATATAATTATGCTATGTATTTTTTTTTTCCTCCACAGAGGCTCGTTACGATTGGATGGCTCCTGGGGTCGCTTGCACTTCTCGGGACCCTGTAATCCTGTTCCGGTGGTGCCCTGGAATCAGACTTCTCGTTGGTTCCCAAGTACCAAGCGCACCACAATCCGAGTTATGCTCAGGGTTCAGGGGGGTTCCCAATTTGATTCCAAAAGAAGTAGTAGATTCATTCTATTTTGAAGATAAGTTGTTTATTGCTTTACTTATGATGCCTTACTTTATTATTCTTGCTTTGTCGCCTAGTTAGTAATCTTATTTAGGACCTAGCATTGAGGTTAACATGAAATTCTAATGCCTATTTGATATCTATTGAATAAAGAGGTTAAACCCAATCTAGGGTTCCTGATGCTGTGGGAGATCTTTTGTATTCTTGTGTTAAGGTGTGATGCACAACATTCTTAATACTAATATAATCTTGTAGGAAATTCAATCGCAATGAAAGTTGGGTTGATATTTCCTAAACCCCCTCTCTTAACCCCTTTATTCGTCTATGAAAGTAGGAAGTTTTAGGGATTTAGATTGCTTGGGTTTTGTTGAGGGGCGAGATTGATGCATCATGACAGTGGGGGAAATTTCTGCCATTCAATTCGAACTTACATAGATCACAACAGTGCCATGTAAGCCCCCAAATGGGTGATTGGTGATCTTGAAACTCGAAATTGTGTTTATCTCCCCTTAATCTTTAGACATGGCATTTAATTTGAATCATATGTTTCCACGATGAGGATACAATATATCTGAATAGTAGAATGAATGAGTCTGTACAAGAGTATATCTAGTAGAGAATAGTAAACCTATTACAAGACGAATACTAATAATAATAGACTCCTAATACTCCCCGTCAAGCACAAGGTTGGCTAGCAACAACATTGAGCTTGCCACACAGAGTAGAGAAACGCGGATTAGGCATAGCTTTAGTGAACACATCAGCTAGCTAATCCTTGGTGGAAATAAAGCTAACCTGCAGCTCCTTCTTCGCCACTTTGTCACGAAAAAAGTGATAGTCAATTTCCACATGCTTCGTGCGAGCATGAAACACCGGATTGGAACAGAGATAGGTCGCACCCAGGTTATCACACCAAAGAATAGGAGGAACAGCCAACGAGATGCCAAGCTCGCCAGCCAGGTGACTTCTGCAGACACATCAGCCAGTGCCTTGTATTCTGCCTCAGTAGATGAACGAGCAACTGTACGTTGCTTTCAACACGACCAGGAAATCAGATTACCACCAAGAAAAACCGCAAAACCACTCGTGGATTTCCTGTCAGCCGGATCACCAGCCCAGTCTGAATCCGAAAAAGCATGGATGGCAACAGAAGAGGAACGACAAATAAAAAGACCAAAATGCAGAGTACCTTTAACGTACCGTAGCACACGCTTGAGCATAGCCCAATGCTCAGTAGTCGGAGAGTGCATGTGCTGACAAACCCGATTCACAGCAAAAGATAGATCCGGGCGTGTGACAGTAAGGTACTGAAGAACCCCAGCAAGACTATGATACTGCGTGGGATCCGCATAGGGAACCACAGAATCAGAAGATTGCCGAGACACAGGAACTGGAGTTAGGGTTGTTAACGAACCGAACATAAACGAACGGAGGTTGTTCGTGTTCGTTTGTTTTAAGGAATTTAGAGTGTTCGTGTTCGTGTTCGTGTTCGTGTTCGTTTGTTAAGGTTTTTGAAAATCCTGTTCGTGTTCGTTTGTTAATAGTTCATTAGTGTTCGTTAACGTTCGCGAACACGTTCACGAACGTGTTCGTTTACCTTAACGAACACGTTCGCGAACGTGTTTGTTAACGTTCGTGAACACGTTTGCGAACGTGTTCGTTAACGTTAACAAACACATTCGCAAACATGTTCATTAACAAGCACGTTCACGAACATGTTCATTTACGTTCTTGAACACGTTCGTGAACACTTAATAAACAAACACCAGCACATGTTCACTATCACAATTCGTTCGCGAACAATAAATAATCTACGTTCACAAACAGTAATCAAACAACCAACACAATTACAAACTAATACAAATAACTTAATAAGTCCACTCGTAGCAAAATCCAAGTATACATAATTTGTCCGCTCACATTACAAGCCAAAACATAAAACATAAAGCATCATATATTTAAATTCTGCATCCATTGAGTTGTAATCTTCGTAAGACATAACTATTATACAAAAAAGTAATTAAAAAATGTTTACAATATTCTTTCTATAATGCAAAACAAAAAAAAAACAAAAAAAAAAACAAACAAACAAACAAACAAAAAACAAAAATACAAGAGAACAAAAAAGTAGAGAATACAGAATACTACCACATTGACATACTACAATATGTTATATTGTTCTTCTTCATCTTGTCCAGTTAATCAGTTATCCAACAAGCTAAACAAGAAAATTCAAAGAATAAATAAACACACAAATACAAAACCAAAGTGGCATAATAGCTCTAAAGTGAATCTAAACTCAATAATATTAATCTGTATAAAAAAACAAAAATTAAAGTTACCGTATGTGAGGAAGATTGAATCAGCAGGCAAGCAAGGAGATCTGAGGATTAAACAATAAGATAAAAGGATTAAACAGTAGCAGATCGTATGTGAGTATACTTTTAATATACAAGTGAATACTACTATTCTATTCTAGAGGGGAATTCTTTTTAAACAGCAGCTGAGGTTTAAACAGTACAAGTGAATACTTTTACTATCCAAAATAAAAACCAAAAAATCTTTTACAAAAAAAAAAAAATAAATAAATAAATTAGAGAGAGAGCTACGGTATTTACTATTTACAGAGGTACAAAGGCGGACGGCGGATAGCGGACGATGGCTGGGCAGGTGGCTGCGGTGGAAGGCGATGGCTGGATAGGTGGCTACGGCGGACGACGATGGCTGGGCAGGTGGCTGAGGCGGACGGTGATGGCTAGGCAGGTGGCTGCGACGGACGGCGTGAGCGATGGAGGTGTGAGCCGTGAGTGATTGAGCGGAGAAGACGGGAATACGAGATGAGCGGTGATTCGTTGAAGACTAGAGACTGCGATTTGTGAAGCAAAAGTGGGAAATCAGAAGTGGAAAACCCTAGTCATGAATGTGACTTGTTTAAATTACCAAATTACCCATGTCTATGTTTATATATATATATATATATATATATATATATATATATATATATATATATATATATATATATATATATATATATATATATATATATATATATATATTAGTATATATATAAATATATATCTATATGTTTGTGAACATGTTCACGAACATTATTAAACGAACACAAACGAGCTTGTTCACAAACATTATTAAACGAACACAAACGAGCTTGTTCACGAACATTACAAAACGAACACAAACGAGCTTGTTCACGATCTCTTAGCAAACGAGCTTACAATTGTTCAAGCTCTGTTCATTTATTAACCGAGCTCTAAATTTTGTTTGTTAATGTTCGTTTACCTTAACAAACGAACATAAACGAACGCTTACCGAACACGAACACGAGTAGTTTGTCGAAAGCTCTGTTTTCTAACACCCCTAACTGGAGTATCCAACGGTTTACAATCCACCATACCTGCACAATTCAAAATATCCCGCATGTATCGCTGCTGAGAAAAAAACAAACCGCCATCTTGGGAGACGGTCTCAATGCCAAGAAAGAAAGACGGAGCACCCATGTCACGAATCTTAAATTATGAGGCTAAGTCAGCAAGGAGCCGAGTAACACGAGAAGCATCAGAACCCATACAAGGATGTCATCAACATATACAAGCAAATATAAACACACAGAGTCACGTGTATAGATGAATAAGGAAACATCAGTCTTGGACGGAGAAAAGCCAACCGAAACCAAGAAAGCATGCAACCTATTGAACCACGCCCGAGGAGCCTGCTTAAGACCATAAAGTGACCTCTACAACAGACACATAATCCGACCGCGACTTGTCTTCATAACCGGGCGACTGACGCATGTAAACCGTCTCTGGAAGATTGCCATTGAAGAAGGCATTATTATGGACATCCAACTGTCGAATGGTCCAACCGCGAGAGACAGCTAAGGAAAGGAGAAGCCGCATGGTGGTCGGATTAACAACAAGACTGAAAGTCTCAAAAAAGTCATGTCCTGCCACCTGATTAAAACCTTTAGCGACTAACCGAGCCTTGTGTCGTTCTATCGTTCCATCTGCCTTGCGCTTCGTCCTGAACACCCATTTGCACCCCACAACATTCATGCATGGCGTGCGACTAACCAGACGCCAAGTGTTATTCTGGAGCAAGGCATTGAACTCAAGATCCATGGCCTCACGCCAATCCGGATACCGAACTGCTTAAGAATAACATGTCGGCTCAGGAACTGCCATAAGTGCAACATGCTGAGTCTGTAGGTGCACCCGAACATGAGACCGGGGCGGAACATCCTTCACCGAACGGCGGCCCCGTTTGGCCCCGGTAGGTGCACCCGAGACCACGCCACCCGAGGCCACGGCAGTCACGGTCCGAGAGCTTGAATCAGTCGCGGAGGCACTGGAATCCGCTACCAACACCGTATCAGGTTCCGGTTCAGCGCTACACACATCGGAGCCAGAGTCATGCCGAACGGCACCAACACCCCATGGAGCAACCAGACGAGAGCTAGGAACCTCAGAAGCCACAGAAGAAGCAAACGGATATATGGCCTCATCAAACCGCACATGGCGGCAAATGAATACCTTGTTAGTAGCAGGATGAAAGCAACGATAGCCACGAAACGAGGACGGATAACCAAGAAACACACACGGGGATGACTGATACTGCAACTTATTACGATTATATGGACGCAATAGAGGATAACAGAGGCAGCCAAACACGCGTAAGAAGGAATAGGAGGGATTAGAACGGTGCAAACGATAATGAGGGCTAACATTATCTAAGACACGAGTATGCATTTTATTGATAAGATAGACCGCAGTCTCAAAAACATAATCCCAATAGCGCTGTGGAACCGAAGCCTGAGCCATGAGAGCCAGACCCGTTTCCACAACGTGACGATGCCTACATTCAACTCTACCATTCTGCTCATGGGTATAGGCACACAAGACTGCCTATGATTAATACCCAACGAGACAAAAGTACGGTGCAACCGCTTATATTCTCCCCCTAAATCGGATTGTATAGAGACAATCTTACGACCATATGAACGTTCAACAAGTGATCGAAACTGTTCGAAGATAGCATACACATCAGTTTTTAAACGCATAGGATAAAACCATACATAACGTGTGTAGTCATCAACAAACAACACAAAATATCAGACACCATTAACAGAAAGAAAAGGCGATGGACCCCAAATATCAGTATATATAAGCTCTAAAACATGCGACGTAGTAGTATTGACACGAGGCAAGGGAAACCGAGACGATTTCCCGAGCATACACGCATGACAAGACACCAAACTATCACTAAAACTAGAATCAACAGAACACGAATTTAAAATTTGCCGCAAGACACGAGAATGCGGGTGACCTAGCCGACCATGCCAGACTTCAGAGGAGACACGAGAGGCCACAAATGCAGCAGGACTCGAAAGAGAAACAGGCCAAGAATAGAGAGCCCTCCAAGCCTGCCCTTAATACAGAACTTCCTTGGTTGAACAATCCTTCACAAAGAAACAGTCATAGTGAAATTCAAAAAAGACATTATTATCTTCAGCAAAGCGTTGTACAGATAATAAAGACGTAGAAAGCCTAGGAACATAGAGAACATCAGATAATCGAAACAGTGTTTTAGAAGAGGCTACCGAAGATGAACCAGTACCAACAATAGGCAAACACTTACCGTCACCAACGCGAAGATGATCCGCCATGGCCACCGGAGCAGTAGCAACGTCGCCAACATCATCCGCACAAATAAAAGCCTGAGAAACAAGGAGGTCAGACAACTCGGTCAGAGACACCGGAGCACCCCTTGTCCGCGACGCTACCAAAGGACGATACTCGGACCGAAGACCGCGGAAGATGTACATATTCTGATCCTCTAGCGTCACCGGACGACCAGCAAGCGCTAAATCCTCGATAAGCACCTGCGCATGGCCAAGATAGTCCGGAATGGAAGCATCCCCCTGCCGCAACCCCTGTAACTCACCCACCAACCGGAGAGCCCGTGCCCTAGTCGTCGAGCCAAGCGTCTGTTCAATCGCCAACCATGGATGCCGAGAGGTCGACTTACCGATAGCGAGATGCATCATCTCGTCGGACAAGGATGAGATCAACAAGGAGAGCACGGCCTTATCTTGACGAAGCCACGCACTCCGAGCAGCGGAAGAGACAGCAGGCGAAGACACGGCAGCGACGATGCCATCGGCAGGTGGCACGGCGAGCGTCGTGAGCAGCGGACACGGGGAAGTATCATCAACAAAACCAGCAACCCTTGGCCATCAAGAAAAGGGAGAGAGATCAGAAAACCTGCTGATACTAGATGAGGATACGATATATCTTAATGGTATAATGAATGAGTCTGTACAAGAATATATCTAGTATAGAATAGTAAACATATTACAAGATGAATACTAATAATAATAGACTCCTAATATCCTCATCGCAAGTGCTTTAATATTTTGAATATTTGTTTGTGTTGCTTGCTTTCTATCAAATTCCAACTATTGCTAGCTTAAGCCAGTTTCTCTATCTTTGTGCCTAGATTGCTTTTTAAGGATCATGCCATGAACCCCATCCTTAAGAACGATAATAACTAAATCCTTTGTTCTCTCTCCCCATTAGGGTTTTTTCTCTCCATCTCTCCCAATTAGGGTTTTGACTTTTTCCGAACGTAGGCAACACGATCTCGGCCAATCTCCGACAGGGAAGACGACAACGGTGATCGGCATGGCATCTCCCACACGGCAGCAGAGTGATGGTGGTGTGGCAAGAATGGCGGAGCGGTGGGCTGATTTAGTCCTTGAAGATGAAGAAGAAGGGGTGATGGCCGAAGGGGTAGGGCAGCTAGTGATCGACGATACAACGGCATTTTATTCTGTTGTTGGGAGATTCTTGACGGCCAAGCTAATTAAAACCGAGTATATGCGGCAGGTACTTGCGTCCGTTTGGATGCCGGTGATGGGAATGAGAGTTACGGAGATGCATGCAAATTTGTTTCTCTTTGCTTTTTATCATGAAACAGACATGATACGGGTGCTTGAGGAGGGGCCCTGGTCTTTTGAGAATCATACTCTTATGTGCAGACAGGTCCCGGATGGAATGCTTCCGGGGGAGGTAAAATTGGATACTGTTGATATGTGGGTGCAGGTTTATGATTTGCCGGTTGGATATACTGATAATAAAATCTTGGAGCAGATTGGGAATTATGTTGGAAAGTTCATCCGGTGTGATAACCGTCAGGTTGGTGGACCGGTAAAAATTTTGTATCGGGTTCGCGTGGCGGTACCGGTGGACAAACCTTTGAAACGGCGCATGAAGTTGATCCGTAGGGACAGAACATGGGGATGGGTTAATCTGAAATAGGAGCGTTTACATAATTTTTGTTTCTATTGTGGGATGCTCGGACACTTGGAGAAGTTTTGTTTGAAGGCACGAGTGTCCGGTCTCACTCCGGAATACTACCCTTATGGACCGTGGATGAGAGCGGGGCAGAATAGGGGTCCCAGGCAGGTTGGTGCGTCGTGGCTAGTACCACCGTTAGAGGGGACCGGATTGATGAATGGTAACCGCCAGAGAGTGGAGGGAACAGCCTCCTCCGATGATAGCCAAAGTGATATACGGATGGCGGCATCGGATGATGATGTGGCGGAGGGTGTGGTGGCCTCCTCGAAACGCCGTCGTGCGGTGGTAGGCCAAGATAGTGGAGAAACGGATGTAGATAGTGGTTCAAAAAACTTGCATATGGCGGGAACTGGTGCCCAGTCCCACCTGAACCAATGAGTACTTTGAGCTGGAACTGCCGTGGCTTGGGTAATCCACGGACAGTTCAGGCAATTGTGGACATGGTGTCCCGTAAGAAACCCGATTTTGTATTTTTAATGGAGACTATGGTGGCCCGGGATCATGCAGAGAGACTCCGGGTAAAGATTGAGTTTGATGGCCTTTTTTATATTGACAATGTAGGAGTGAGAGGTGGTATGGCGTTACTGTGGAGGAAAAACAATACGGCTAGCTTGTTGGGTTACTCAAAGAACCATGTGGATGTAGAGGTGTGTATGCCAGGATTTGATAAGTGGAGAATGACGGGGTTCTATGGATTTGCACAGCGGTGGAGGCGGAATGAGTCATGGGAGCTTATTAGATCATTATCACATCGATCTCAGCTACAATGGGTCATGATAGGGGATTTCAATGATCTCCTGTATCAGCATGAAAAACGAGGGGGGAATCCGCATCCAGAGGCGCTTTTACGTGGCTTTGGAAAAACCATTGATGAGTGTGGTTTAGCCCAGTTGCCAATGCAGGGATACCCGTATACATGGGAGCGGGGTGAAGGGACTGTGGACTGGATTGAAGAGAGGCTGGATAAGGTGCTGGTAACACAGGAATGGCGTGAGGTGGTTAGGGATGCCAGTGTTTTAAACATTCTGACCCGACGCTCAGATCATTCTGCTCTTTTTCTTGGGATTCTAAATCCTCGGGAGAGACGGAATGGAATGAGAAGAAGGTTCCGATTTGAGATGGCATGGCTGCATGATGAGGGTTGCAGGGGGGTTGTAGAAAGGACATGGGCAGAAGGGAGGAATAAGGGGCTACAGGGTTGTATTCAACTCTGTGGAGATAGATTATCACGATGGGGAGGAGATCGATTTCATAAGTTTGGTGAGCAAGCGATGAATCTTCGTAAACAGCAGTTGCGTTTACGGGGGTGTATGGATCAGGCATCGTTAGCAAAATACCAGCGTTTAGAGGGGTGTCTGGCTCAAATTGAAATGCAGGAAGATGCGTATTGGAAGCAATGGGCAAAACAACACTGGCTAAAGGGAGCAGATGCAAATACGAAATTTTATCACAGGTATGCTTCTCACCATAAAAAGAAGAATACACTTGTTAAAATTATGAATGATGATGGGGATTGGGTAGAGGGGGAGGCTATGGGAACTGTTATAATTGATTATTACAGACGTATCTTTGCTACGGGTCAGTCTGAAAATGATGTGGAGTTTTATGCAAGTATTTTCCCCCAAGTGTCACAAGCACAGAATGATGGCCTGCTACGGCCGTTTGACAAAACAGAGGTCAAGGCTGCGTTGACAGCCATGTTTCCTGATAAGGCGCCAGACCCGGATGGAATGAATCTGGGCTTTTATCAGAATTATTGGGATGTGGTGGGAGAAGATGTGTCAGAATTTATTGTGAATTGCCTGAATACTCGTACTTTTCCAGCTGAATTGAATGATACTGATATAGTTTTAATTCCCAAGAAAAAGAATCTGGAGTTGGTCTCGGATCTCCGGCCTATAGCGCTGAGTAATGTGATCTATAGAATCATGGCTAAGATGATCTCGGCTAGAATGAAACCACTTATGAATGAAATTATTTCTGATACGCAAAGCGCATTTATACCTGACAGGCTGATAACAGATAATATTCTGGTTGCTGCGGAAGTTGGTCACTTTTTAAACAGAAAGCAGTGTGGTATGACTGGATGGGGTGCATTAAAATTAGATATGGCGAAGGCATATGATCGTATGGAATGGTCATTCCTGCGTAATATGTTGATAGCGTTGGGATTTGATGCTAGGTGGATGGACTTAATTATGTTATGTGTAACCACTGTATCTTATAATATTTTGCTGAATGGCTCTCGTAGTCTGCCTATTACCCCGACTCGTGGACTTAGACAGGGTGATCCTTTACCCCCGTACCTTTTTATTATCTGTGCTGAAGGTCTATCACTGCTATTACAACAGGCACAGTCTCAGGGAAGAATTCATGGCTGTAGAGTTGCAAGAGGTGCACCACCTATATCCCATCTGCTTTTTGCTGATGATAGTTTGTTGTTTTTTAAGGCAAAAATTCAGGAAGCTGAAGTGATTAAACAGTGCTTAACACGGTATGAAAGATTATCTGGCCAAGTAGTCAATTATCATAAATCAAACATCTGTTATAGTAAGAATACGAGAGATGATGACAGGAATGATGTGGCGCATGTCTTAGGTGTGGACCAAGCTCCCAATTATGGGAAGTATTTGGGGTTACCCTCTTTTATAGGGAGAAATAAAAAGACAGCTTTCTCGTATATTGAGGACAAGATCAGGCAAAGGATCGTATCCTGTAATAAGAAACTATTATCACAGGCTGGTAAGGAAGTTTTATTAAAAAGTGTGGCTCAAGCTATGCCTACTTTTTCAATGAGCGTTTTCTTATTACCAATGGGGATATGTACAGCCATTGAGCGAACCATGAATCGTTACTGGTGGGGATCTGGGAATGACCGTGGCATCCATTGGAAAGCCTGGGATAAGATGTGTATACCAAAGAAGCATGGGGGTTTAGGATTCAAGGAGCTACATGCTTTCAACCTGGCAATGTTGGGTAAACAAGCATGGCGATTACTCACTAAGCCTGAGTCTCTAGTTTCAAAAGTTTATAAAGCCAGATATTATCCTAAAGGGACTTTTTATGATACATGTGTGGGGAATAACCCGAGCTTCTGTTGGCGCAGTATTATGGCAGCCCATGACATGGTATGTAGGGGGATTAGAAGGAGAATTGGAAACGGGGATACAACTTTAATATGGGACCATCCATGGTTACAGGACCAACATGAGCCAAAGATTCACACAGAAAAGCCTGTGCACTTGAATGGTGCGACTATCAAGGGATTAATAGACCCGGAAACACATACTTGGGATCCGAATATATTGACAGATATTTTTGACCCCATTGATATACCCCGGATCTTAAAAATACCAATATCACCAAACTATGACGATATGTGGTATTGGTATGGGGACCAGGGAGGAAACTATACAGTAAAGAATGGGTACATGGCTATTATTGGAGATTATGGGCATGCTACGAGCAATTTTGATAATTGGCTAGGCCTATGGATACTTAAAATACCTCCCAAATGGAAAACTTTCTTATGGAGAGCATTGAATGATATTCTCCCCACTACGGCAAATCTGATTATAAAGAGAGTGGATATACAACCAACATGTGCTATGTGTGGGATGGCAAATGAAGACACAATGCATGCTTTGGTATTGTGTGATTATGCTAAGTCCATTTGGAGCCAATCTCACCCTCCAATCCCCATCAACATCACAAATATTTTCTATAGTTGGTTTAGTGAACTATTAAATATTTTAGACACTAACCAAATTATCCACGCAGCTGCAATCCTATATTACATTTGGAGAACCAGAAATGGAGCGGTGTGGGATGCATGCCTACCACGTCCGCAAAGAGTGATTGCCGCAGCCGCTGCCGGAGTACACGCATGGGAGCAAGCACATCCCGCTCGGACTCCCATGCCGCTGCAACTGCCTGCTTTGCCGAGCGTACCGCACCAATCAGACATGGCCGAAAGTACACTGCCATCACCGGAAGTTCATGCGCCATTAAAATGTTATTTCGATGCCAGCTTTTCGCATCACACGGGAGCAGCCACTGCTGGAGCTTTGTTGTTGACTGGGGAAGGAGAATATGTCTCGGCCTTCAGTATACGTTTGCCAGATTGTCAGTCCCCACTTATGGCCGAAGCGCTCGCATGTAAGGAAGCCCTATCATGGTTATGGACTCGTGGAGATCACTCTATACAATTATTCACGGATTGTTTGACTCTACAACAATACCTCTCACACTCAGCGACCTCTCTTCGGTTGTATATTGGCTATGCCATAGATGCCTGCAGGGCACGTATCGTTACGTTTAATTATTGTTCGGTTATTTACATTCCTAGATCAGAGAATTATTTAGCTCATATTTTAGCTTTATCTACTTCTAGTCAGCCTGCTATTATGTATTGGGACTCTGTTCCGCCTCACACTATTTCGCAGTATTTTGAATAAATGCCATGACGGCTCCTTTCAAAAAAAAATAAAAAATTCTTTGTTAAAATTCCACTCGATCATTCATCCGCATATAACTAATAGTGCACACACGTGGGTGCACTATTATAGATCATGAATACACTATTAATTATTCACAAATGCACTATCAAACACTTCTAAATGCACCGTCGTAATTGTAGAAATGCAATCGTACCTTTTCTTTAATTTTTCCCCCTTGATCATCTTAGATGGACTAATAAGATTAGTCAACATGCTTTCAAAGGACTAGTAGTTCTCATCTAATCCTGATTATATATGTGCCGGTAAGTACGACCATATGTGCTTTTTGTTACGCGATTGATCTAAATTGGTTTAGGTGAGTTTTGTCATACCTCTCAAACTTCACCCCCTATGACCAAATTATATTGCGCACCGCGGTGCATAATCGATTACGCACCACACATCAAAATGACGTTGTTTTATTTAATGAAAAGAAACGGAATCCGTTCCGCACCATTCCGCAAAAATTAACTCTGTTCTTCAGTTTCATTTTGTATACACTGCAGTTTCAGTTCAACACAAATACAGTTTCATTTCGATATAACTACAGTTTCATTCAATATTTATACACTCAAATATGTGAAAATGTTATTTAATTTTATTTTATATACACTATAGTTTCATTAAAACACAACTACATGATCATTTCGATATAATTATAGCTTCATTTTACAATATACACTCAAATATGTGAAATGTTATTCAGTTTCATTTTATATATACTGCAGTTTCATTTCACCACAACTACAGTATCATTTTGATATAACTACAGTTTCATTTGATAATATAAAAATAATACGTGGGGCAGTGTCGGTTTAGATACACTGTAGTGTTACTCCGTTAACACTAACAGCGCGCCGTTTCTTTACTTAAAGAAACGGCGCCGTTTTGATGCACGGTGCATAATCACCGCAGTCCATGAATTAACAACTGCCAGTTGAGTTGCCTATGCGGGCCATATATAGGAAAAAATGGAAACACAGTTCTTCTTAGGAAAAATGGAAAACAATGCTTTAGCCATATGAAAAGTCCATCCAAAAAACTCCTTTCACACTCGGTCTAGAAAATCCTTCTCACACTACCAACGTAACATTGGGATATAAAAGGCATTCTCAACCATTAACTCAGCAAGCATTGCATCCACGCAAAACTATATTTCAAAACAGGCCATAAGAAATAATATAATAATAGTAATCTCCCTTATTAGCTTCATCATGAGTGGCTGCAGGCTGCCTATAATAAATCCTGTTCCCTTCTTCATCTTTGTTTTTATGGTAACTGAGTTTGGGTTTTGTAGCGGAAACCCAACCCCGATTTGCAGAAAAGATGAAAAGCAGGCCTTGCTGTGCTTCAAGAAGGGGTTAAAGGATCCATCCAGTCGGCTTTGGTCTTGGGTTGATATTGATGGAGACTACGATTGTTGTAGTAAATGGGATGGAGTTGTGTGCAACAACGTAACTGGCCATGTCACTGAGCTCCACCTCGCCAATCCCGCTCCAGGCAATGGCAGTTCAGCTTTTGGCGGTGAACTAAGTTCCTGTTTGCTGGAATTGAAACAACTAAGTCACCTGGACCTTAGCGGAAATGATTTTGAAGGAACTCCCATCCCAGGCTTCCTAGGATCTCTACTAAATCTAGAATATCTCGATCTATCAGAAGCTGGATTCGAAGGTGACATTCCTCATCACCTGGGAAATCTTACAGGTTTACACATGTTGAGTATTCGCGGCATTGCTTACTCTCTTGGTGGTCTCAAAGTTGATAGCCTGGAATGGTTATCAAGTCTTTCCAATCTCCAGCAACTGGACTTGAGCTATGTGGATCTAAGCAACGCACTCAACTGGGTAGAGGTCACTTCTGCTCTTCCTTCTTTACATCACCTTAGTTTCTCTGGTTGTAGTCTTGCTAACATATCCCCTTCACTTCATCATCCCAACAACTATTCCTCCCTTTTGGTCCTGGACCTTTCTCTTAATACCTTCAATTATTTTCTCCCTAAATGGATTTTCAATCTCAACACCCTCGTTTCTCTTGACCTGCGTGAAAGTAGTTTTCTGGGTCCCCTACCTGATACTGGTCCTTGGAACTTTTCATCTCTTGAAGCCCTTCACATCTCTTTTAATCTTCTCGGCGGGTCTTTACCCAGTCATGCAAACTTGCCTAAGCTCAAAGTATTTGACACTTCTCTTAACATGTTCAATTCTAGCTTGCCACAGTGGATATTTAGGTGTAAAGAATTACAAAAGCTTGATCTTCAAGCTAACCTGTTTTCAGGCCCTGTTCCTAGTAGTGTGGGGGAAATGAAAAGGCTAAGATATCTTGATCTTTCTTCAAATGAATTGAGTTCTACCATACCAAGTTGGATTTATGAATGCCCTGAGTTGACCCATCTTGATCTTGGTTACAACCAATTTCAGGGCACCATTTCGAATTCCATTTCCAACTTGACTTCTTTGGCTTACTTCAGTGTCTCTAATAATAACATGCTTAGTGGAGAAGTGTCTAAAAAGATGGGAAAACTTTGCGAGCTAAAGTGGCTTTCTCTGTCAGTAAACAAGTTTTCTGGATTAATTTCTGAGTTGTTCCAAAGTATGTCTGGGTGTGTTTTGTATGGATTAGTGGGTTTGCATCTAGACAATAATCAGTTTTCAAGCCCAATGTTTGAGAGCTCATTAACATTTCCATCATTGACAAGTTTGGGCCTGGGAGGTAACAAGATAAATGGAACACTTGGTGAAAGTTTGGGGAAAATGTTTCCAATGTTGCGATCTTTGGATATTTCCAATAACATTTTAGAAGGTGTTGTGACCCAAAACCACTTTGTTAATCTAAAAGGGTTGGTGTCCTTCCATGCATCTGGAAATAGATTAACATTGAAAGTGAGCTCCAATTGGCTACCTCCCTTCAAGCTCAAGAAGCTTGGGCTGGGAAGTTGGCACTTGGGTCCTCAATTTCCAATTTGGTTGCAGTCACAAAAACAGATTTCTAAGGTGGATATATCTAATGCTGGAATCAAAGGTGAAGTTCCAACTTGGTTTTGGAACTTATCCTCCCAAATGTCTCTCCTCAATCTGTCTCATAACCTATTTTGTGGTCCATTGCCTCAAACATCACTTGCCAAAACCAAATTATTGGACTTGTCAAACAATTTCTTCTCGGGAAATGTTGTTCGTTTCTTATGCCATCCTCAAAATGGATCGAACAGGCTTAAGAGGCTTTATCTGAGAAGAAACGATTTATCCGGTCAAATTCCTGATGATTGTTTGAGTAATTGGCCAGCATTGCAAGTTTTAGACATGGCAAAGAATAATTTGAGTGGAAGAATTCCCAAATCTGTTGGGCTTCTAAAGTCATTGTCATCATTGGAGTTTCATGGAAACAAACTTTTTGGCAATATACCTTCATCTCTACAAAATTGCACCAATTTATTCAAACTTGACTTGGGTGAAAATGAACTAGAAGGGAGTATTCTAAGTTGGCTTGGGAGTTCATCACTTTATTCTAGTTTAGTTATTCTAAGGCTTCGTTCAAATAAGTTCCATGGTGAATTGCCTCCAGATCTTTGCCAGCTTAAATATCTTCAGATATTGGACGTTGCTAATAACAACATCATCGGTAGCATTCCGAGGTGTCTTAACAATCTCACGTCAATGGTCGAGCAGAATGAGATTGATTTTGGAGAAATGGATACTTTAACAAAAATATTCTTGGGAGAAAGTGCTACAGTGATCACTAAAGGGCAAGAGTACCAATACTCTACCATTATATTGGTGTTGTTTGCAAGTTTTGATCTTTCAAACAACAATTTTTCTGGGGAAATACCTGTGGAGCTGACCACTTTACTGGAATTAAGATCCTTGAACTTATCAAGAAATAAGTTGACAGGAAACATTCCCAAGGAAATAGGAAACATGAAGCAATTAGAATCCATTGATCTATCAAGAAACCATCTTTCTGGAGAAATTCCCTACAGTCTCTCAAATCTCAACTTTCTGAGTTACTTGAATTTGTCTTATAACAATCTGTCTGGGAAGATCCCTACTGGTACTCAACTTCAAAGCTTCAATGCATCTTGTTATGTTGGTAACAATCTTTGTGGGCCTCCTCTCCTTGGATGTAGCAATGATGATGATGTTCCTGATGAAGAAGAAGACAGAGGAGATGATTTTGAGGCAAAGTGGTTTTATATTAGCATGGCTATAGGATTTGTTGTGGGATGGTGGGGCATCTGGGGACCTTTGTTTGTTGTGAAATCTTGGAGGTATGCTTATTTTCAGTTTATAGACAATAAGTTAAAGTCTCTTTCAAAATGGTTTGGATAGAGCTGGATTTTTATTGTATTTTCTAAAAACTTCTTTCTTGTATTATTATATATCAAATAAAGGTGAACTTGTCCACTTTTATGTAGCCTGAAAGGGTATATTTAGTTGTAAAACTATTTCTGATTTTGCCTTAGATTACTAAGATGATTATGGCTATATTTAGCAAATTTAGATGAAAAGTTAGCTGAAAGTTGAAAAGTTTAAAAGTTAAAAGCTGAAAATGGAAGAACTGTTAAGCTAGCTCATTATGCTTAAACATACTGATTATTTTTAAAAGTGTTTGGTAAAATTAGCTTTTAGATAAGTTAATAAAAGTAAAAACACTAAAAAGGATATTTTTATAACATTTAAATAAGTTTGTTTACATATTAAAATTTAACATTTTGAACGGAAACTATTAGCATAATCATGATCTAGCATCCATAATGAAATATCAATATTGTTGTAAATCTCCTCCATCTCAATAGAGGTTTCACTTAAATTTTTGTTGATGGAGATATTACTACTTCAATCTTATTACTACTTTAATCTGGATGCTGCTCAAGTACATTAAACATCATGTCATCTTGCGAATTATTCCGAATATAATTATGTAGTGCAAATGTGGCCATAATAACATCAATTTGGGTCTCCGCACTAAACTGTGACATTTTAGCAAATATATTACATCTCTTCTTCAATACTCCAAACGACTTTTCAATACAACTTCGAAGAGAAGAATGTACATGATTGAATGCTTCTTGAGCATTAGTTGGAGGCCTTTGAATAGATAGAGATTCTGTTCAACCAAACTAATTGGTTGGCCGATTTATGCAAGAAGTCCAATTAAAATCTTAGTTTTGCCAAAATACTCACTCGTAGTGGAATCCCTTTGGCGCAAAAACTGCAACCGACTATGGAGACTCAGATACCCTACCCGAGAAGAAAACCCAAAGGCAACTCCACTAGTGTTCCATAAGACCCCTACAACATACAAAACTTCATCGGACAAAGACGAGCTAAGCATGGACAAAATAAAAGAATCCTGACGGACCAAATTTTCGGCCAGAGAATCAGCTACAACAGAACACTCATCCGGAGCATTAATAAACGGAGCTAGATACGGTAACGTGTCATCAACGTATTCACTAGGATTTTACCGCTGAGAAAGGGAACAAGTTGAGTCTTTCATAACAGATTGTTTGGTAGTGTAGTTTTGTTATTTGGTATGTGCATTGGAGTCTTATGGTGTGTACGTTTTTCAATGGGTGGAATTTGCATCATTGTGTGTGGAAAAAATAGGTTTAGGTTTGGTTGGCTTCTTTAAATTCATTCGGTTTTTCTTTTAAAAAAATAATTCTAAGTGCACCTGGTATGTGAGATATTTTTTTGTTGGTGTGTGCTTTGGAGTGGTATGGCGTGTGCAAAAGTTCCTGTTTGAACTTGGTGTGTGCGTAGGTTCGGGATGACGTGTGCATTTTGTGAACTTGGTGGTTGCATAGGTGTGGTATGGCGTGTGCATTTATTTTAAACTGTTTGTTTGTGGTGTTCTAAACTTGTATTATTGGTATACAGAGCTTGTACAGAGTATGGAAGAATATTGTGAAACTTAGGTGTGTGCATGTGTGTTGTGTGGTGCAAAAAAAAAAAAAAAAAAAAACAGGAAATAGTGCACTTACAATCTTTTCCATAAAATCAAAATGTTAAAAACAACAAATCTATGCACACACATAATATTAATGATTGTTTTATAAAAAAATAAAAAATTAAATATCAAAGCCCCCATCCCAAACTTTTGCACACGCCAAAGCACAAAATCGCACTGCCACCGTAAGTTACAACTCCGGTCAATCAGAAATAAATAAACAACACATAGTAGTCTTACAATCTTTTTTTTTTTTGAAAAGTACAATCTTCTTCTTTAAAAACAAACTAACAACATGAATTCACACACATACATAATAAATATTTGCGAAAAAAAAATAAACAAAAAAAAAACCCAAAACACAAAACTTGCACACGCCATTTCGCACACATACACACAGCGCCGTACATAATCATCTAATAACACATTACAGATGCACATACCCTTTTTGTTGCTCGCCATTCATAATCACTGAACCTTTGTTGTTTTCATAGTACGTACTATTAAAAAAAATTATTAGTAGTTATTTTCATTCATATTCTCCCTAATATAATGCTAAAGACTTCAATTTAATTCTATCCAAAATTAAACACAATACTACAATTACTTTTTAATCTTTATGTTTTAAATATATTCTTAATTACTTTAATGGCATGTTTGGTTCATGTAATAGGTCAGAAATGAAATAACATTCCTTGGAATAAACCTATTCCATCGTTTGGTTGGATCATTTTGTCATGGGAATAACATGCCTAGGAATGAGCTATTACCATTGCAAGCGTCATAGTCATTCCTAGGGGGGAGCCTTGGTATTAGCTATTCACATGCCCTTGGGAATAGTTTTTATATCACAAATACCAAAAATACCCTTTACACAATATATAATATTTATATTTATTTAATAAATATAATGTATTATATAAATGTATATATTTAATTAAATATAATTTTTATCCATCAATCTATCAATAAATAAATAAATATATATATATATATATATATATATATATATATATATATATATATATATATATATATATATATATATATATATATTTAAATAAATTAGGAATAAGGGTCAAATAGGCCACTCAACTGCACACAAAATTGCAATTAGGCCATTGAACTAATAAAGAATGCAATTGAGCCATTGAACAACACAAAAACATGCAATTCAACCCAAAATAACTTGTGTACCTGTTGAAGCAAGTTACCCATTTTTTAATTAATTATTAAAAATAATTTTTAATTTTTAATAAATAATTAATTTAAATTTAAATTTAAAAAAAAAAAAAAAAAAAAAAAAAAAAAAAAAAAAAAACAGTCGGCCGGAGACGAACCTCCGTCTCCAGCCATGGAGATGAAGGACGTCGTCTCCATGGCCGGAGACGAAGACCTTCGTCTCCGGCTATGGAGAATTGGGGAATGAAATTGAGAAAATTGGAGAAATGGAAAAACTGGAGAAATGGAAGAGGGAAATTCAAAAATTGGAGAAATGCAAAACTGAAAATAGAAAAACTTATAAATGAAGTAAACGACCCTAAAAACTTGCAAGCAACACCAATATAATGGTAAAGTAACAATAAATTATGAAAATACAAGTAAATAGCATGATATACTTGTGTCTTTATACGCCATTTTAAATGTAATTAGTGATTGCAGGTGATTAAACCAACTAACACAATTAGCTATTAGCTAAATCAATCAACTATCAACTAACAGTCAATTGTCAAACAGAAAATAATATTTTTCAAATAACACAAGAAAAAAGTTCAAAAAAGTACCAATATACAGTGAGAATCCAACTCTACACTTGGGGGCCCCAGTCGGTCTTGCATCCGATGAGTCCTCACTCGCGCCCCGCTTGCCTCCTCTGATCGGTTGTCACGAGAATTATCATAACGGGGCCTTTTATTCGGAAGTAATATCCATCACAGTCCAAACCAACCAAAAGGATACTTCAACTTAACATCTAAAAATTGAAAATAGGCTTGTCTCCAAGACTTCACAACAAACAAAGGTCCCCAGATGCCACACCATCCCACAACAAATCCTATAGCCATGCTAATATAAAACCACTTTGCCTCATCAGAATCATCTCCTCTGTCTTCTTCTTCATCAGGAACAGCATCATCATCATTGGATTCATTGCTACATTCAAAGAGAGGAGGCCCACAAAGATTGTTACCAACATAACAAGATGCATTGAAGCTTTGAAGCTGAGTACCAGTAGGGATCTTCCCAGACAGATTGTTATAAGACAAATTCAAGTAACTCAGAAAGTTCAGATTTGAGAGGCTGTAGGGAATTTCTCCAGAAAGATGATTTCTTGATAGATCAATGGATTCTAATTGCTTCATGTCTCCTATATTCTTAGGAATGTTTCCTGTCAACTTATTTCCTGATAAGTTCAAGAATCTTAATTCCACTAAAGTGGTAAGTTCCACAGGTATTTCCCCAGAAAAATTGTTGTTGGAAAGATCAAAACTTGTAGCCAACACCAATATAATGGTAGAGTATTGGTACTCTTGCCCTTTAGTGATCACTGTAGCACTTTCTCCCAACAATATTTCTGTTTCCCTATCAATATCAAAGTCAATCTCATGCGGCTCAACCATTGAAGTGAAATTGTTAAGGCACCTAGGGATTATACCAGTGAAGTTATTATTAGCAAGGTCCAATATTTGAAGAGATTTAAGATGGCAGAAATCTGGAGGCAATTCACCATAGAACCCATTTGAACGAAGCCTTAGAACAAACAAACTAGAAAGTGAACTCACAAGCCAGTTTGCAGTATTCCCTTCTAACTCATTTTCACCCAAGTCGAGTTTCTCTAAACCGGTGCAATTTTGTAAAGATGAAGGTATATTGCCAGAAAGTTTGTTACCGTTCAAGTCCAAAGATGACAATAACTTTAGGAGCCCAATAGTTTTGGGAATTCTTCCACTTAAACTATTCTCTGCCAAGTCTAATACTTCCAATACCGGCCAATTACCCAAACAATCGGGAATTTGTCCTGATAAAGCATTTCTTCTAAGGTGAAGCCTATTAAGCATGATTGATTCATTTTGAGGATGACAAAAGAAACCAATGACGTCCCCTGAGAATAAATTGTCTGACAAGTCCAATTTAGTTATGGGAAATGTGTTTCGAGGCAATCGACCACTGAATTGGTTGTGAGATAGATTGAGGACAGAGAGTTGAGAGGATAAGTTCCAAAGCCAAGTTGGAACTTCATCTTTGATTCCAGCATTAGATATATCCACCTCAGAAATCTCTTTTTGTGACTGCAACCAAACTGGAAATTGAGGACCTAAGTGCCAACTTCCCAACCCAAGGTTGCTAAGTTTAAAGGGAGGCAACCAATTTGGACTCACTTTCAATGTTAATCTATTTCCAGATGCATAGAAAGTCCATAATTCTTTGAGATTAACAAAGTGATTCTCGGTCACAACACCTTGTAATATGTTATTAGAAACATCAAGAAAATCCAGCATCGGAAACATGTTCCCCAGACGTTCGGGAAGAGTTCCATTCATCTTATTACCTCCTAGGTCCAAAGTACTGAGTGATGGGAATTTTAATGAAGTATCAAACATTGGACCAGAAAACTGATTATCGTACAGAAGCAATTTCACTAAACCATCAAAAACACATTCAGACATACTTTGGAACAACTCAGAAATTAATCCAGAAAACTTGTTTGCTGACAGAGAAAGCGAGACTAACTTGCAAAGTTTTCCTATCTGTTTAGGTACTTCTCCACTAAGCATTCTGTTATTTGAGACACTGAAGAAAACCAAAGAGGTCAAGTTGGAAATGGAATGTGAAATGGTTCCCTGAAATCGGTTGTAACTAAGATCAAGATAACTCAGCTCAGTGCATTCGTAAATCCAACTTGGAATACTGGACCTGAAATCATTCCCATTAAGATCAAGATATCTCAGCCTTTTCATTTTCCCTACACTACCATGAACTGGCCCTGAAAACCGGTTTCCTTGAAGATCAAGAGTTTGTAATTCACTACACCTAAATATCCACTGTGGCAAGCTAGAATTGAACATGTTAAGAGTGGTGCGCAATATTTTGAGCTTAGGCAAGTTCCCATGACTGGGCAATGAACCACTGAGACGATTCAATGAGATGTCAAGTGTTTCAAGAGACGAAAAGTTCCAAGGACCAGTCTCGGGGAGGGGACCAAGAAAACTACTATCGCTCAGGTCAAGAGAAACAAGGCTGTGGAGATTGAAAATCCATTTAGGAACAAAAGAATTGAAGCTATTTTGAGAAAGATGTAGGACCAAAATGGAGGAATAGTTGTGATGATGAAGTGAAGAGGATATGTTAGCAAGACTACAACCAGAGAAACGAAGGTGATGTAAAGAAGGGAGAGCAGAAGTGACCTCTACCCAGTTGGGAGCGTTGCTTAGATCCACATAGCTCAAGTCCAGTCGCTGTAGATTGGAAAGGCTTGATAACCATTCAAGGCTATCAACTTTGAGACCACCAAGAGAGTAATCGGAAAGACTTGTAGTAGTTCTCTGCCCCATCCCCAGGGAGATTTCAAGAAACCCTGAACTTATAGGAGAGGAATAAGCAGGCCCCCGTATAGTTAACGTGTGTAATCCTGTGAGATTACCAAGCTGATGGGGAATGATACCTTGGAACCCAGCATCGGCTAGATCGAGATATTCCAGATTTAGTAGAGATCCTAGGAAGCCTGGGATGGGAATTCCTTCAAAATCATTTCCGCTAAGATCCAGGTGACTTAGTTGTTTCAATTCCAGCAAACAGGGACTTAGTTCACCCCCAAAAGCTGAGCTCCCATTGCCTGGATTGGCGAGGTGGAGCTCAGTGACATGGCCACTTACGTTGTTGCACACAACTCCACTCCATTTACTACAACAATCATCGTAGTCTCCATCAATATCAACCCAAGACCAAAGCCGACTGGATGGATCCTTTAAACCCTTCTTGAAGCACAGCAAGGCCTGCTTTTCATCTTTTCTGCAAATCGGATTTGGGTTTCCGCAACAAAACCCAAACTCAGTTACCATAAAAACAAAGATGAAGAAGGGAACAGGATTTATTATAGGCAGCCTGCAGCCACTCATGATGAAGCTAATAAGGGAGATTATGGCCTGTTTTGAAATATATACATACATACACACACAAGGGGTACTATATATGGGGATGAGGGAGGGGGACAGCTGTCCCCTGATGAAGCAAGTAGCCAAGTAGTGAAGCAGCTAGTTGGTGAAATCAACAAAGCAGTTGGTTGTTGAAGGGTGGAGTCAACAAACAGATTAAATGGCTAGGGGTTATTTTGTAATTTCCTTAGCTTGTTCGTTAAAGTTAGTTATTTTCTGTATTAGCTCGTTAATAACCCTGAGTTTTCTTTCTTTAAAGTGAGTTTGAATTCTTCAGTCCTCTGGAATGAACTTGTTCTTTTGAATTCAAGAAATCTTTTTTTCCTTCTTTCTCTCTTAACCAAAGGAGTTCGACATCCCCACTACTCCTATAGTAACTCCGCCCTGATCAATTATTTGTACTTTTAAAACATATTATTTGTACCAAAGTTTGAGTAATAGATTGCCAGCCGGAGATTATTATGTTTCTTATGGTTTGGAAATATAGTTTAGCTTGCTGGTTTAGCAATTCCATGATCATTGCTTTGTTAGAATGCCTTTATATTCCCATGTTAATATGTTATTGGCAGTTTGAACCCGTACATTTTTCTTGTAAATGTTTACGTTAGTTAGTGCTTTTTATTAGGACTCCCACACTATTCATTCTTCCTCTTTTTATAAAATAGGAATAAGGGTCAAATAGGCTACCGAATTACATATTAAAGTACAATTAGACCATCGAACTCAAAAATAATGTAATTGGATCCCTAAACTACATAAAATCATGCAATTAAGTCTAAAATAACCTGTTGACCTTAAATTGTGCGGACGTGACGGTTACCAATTTCAAAAATAAATTTTAAATATAATTTTAAATAAAATAATTAATTAAAAAAAAAAAAAAAAAAAAAAAAAAAAAAAAACTAGAACTGCCGGAGACGAAAAGTTCTTCGTCTCCATGGCCTTTCGTCTCCAGCGATGGAGACGAACACTGCCGGAGACGAATCAGTTTAGTTTTTTTTAATTATATAATTTTAATTATTTATTTTATTTTAAAATATATTTACAATTTATTTTTAAAATTGGTAACCTGCATTTCAGGTAAACAGGTCATTTTGGACCTAATTGCATGATTTTATGTGGTTCAGGGGCCTAATTGCATTATTTTTGAGTTCGATGGCCTAATTGCACTTTGGTGTGCAATTCAGTAGCCTATTTGACCCTTATTCCTATAAAATATTACTATTTATCATTCTTCTCTCGATTATATTGTGGGGCTCTTTGTATCTTTATAAATACATCTCTTTACCTTATTTATATAATTATGGATTGATCATTTCTAGAACTATTGTTGTCATCTGGTAATAGTAGACTAAAAAAAAAAAATCACCCCCACCTCCACTAACCCCTCGCAACCGCCGACCGGTGACACCACCTCTCCTTCTCGCATCATCTTGAATATTGTCTATCCAACCACAGCCCTTATAAAAACCCTACAAACAGCACATCACTTTTATCTCCATTAAACATTTAAATCAGTTCTAGATGTCATATTAATGCTATTATTTTGTTATATCATCTCCTATAAATAGCTTGGTGTTTGTACAGATGATTTACCATGTTGAAAAATATAATTTTTGCTGCTTTAAAGCACTATCTCGTTTTTCTTGAAACTTCTACCTGTACTTTCCTAAATTTTATTGTGTTTTACCCTTTGTTCTAGTTCATTGAGAGTAATATAGCTTGAGTGATCAACTATATTACAATAAATGCATTTTATCTTGAGAGACTGACTTCACAACGTTCCTAGCGTATCTTGACTTTATATGGATTATTTCTAACATTTTAAATCTCATTGTTATTAGTATTTTTTTCCTATTTATCAGACTTCTTCTCCAACAACAATTATTTCAGAGCCAAAATATTTATGATAGTTAGGCTAACATTATCCCTACAAATCTCTCCCACTCTCAAAAATGAGTCACACTTTCACATCGCCATATTTACAAATCATCTACTATTCATACTACATCCCTACAAATCTAATCAACTTTCAAAAGTGGGCCCAACATATTAAAATAATATTATTAATAATATTAAAATATTAAAAAGTAAAATTAAAAAGTAAAAAAAAATTTAAAAAAAAGTACAAAAGCTGTCGCAACAGCTTTTTCAGGGATTTGCAAATTTGCAATTCCTTTTGAATTAAAAAAAAATGAAAAATGGTGATGTGGCTTTACCATATAAGATTGCAAATGGGAGATTTGCTGGGATAATTCCAGCCTTACCAAAATATTTATGATGGTTATGACTTAGACATTAAATATAAAGTGTAAATAAATACTTTTTGGTACTTATCATTTGGGGAGGAGAGCACCAAAATTATGGGGGATATTTGGAATTTTAATTTGATACTTTAATGGCATATTTATAATTTTTTTTTTAGGGAATGTCACATGATCGAACTTCAGGGATAGTGGGGTCTTGACTTGTAATAGAGTCAATAGCATTTAAATTTTTTTTTGATATTTTAGTGATATTGTTAAATAATGCTTCCAAATAATTGTTATTATTATTTATTGAATTATCTAATAAATAAATAATATTAAATAAAAGTTTGAGTTGATTAAAATGATCATATTCTCACCACTCATAATTTTTAGATGATGATGGAAAATATGGATTGAAGATTGATATTGGGAGGCTGGAAGACTTCATAGTCAGTCAACGATAGTTTTCGTAAAACAATTGTGAACACACACTCAAACGGTCAAACCGCGCTTACTGTCGATATGACAAATTGAAAATGACATGAGCGACATGTTCGCAGAAAATTCCGCACCCTCAAAAAGATTAGTGTAAGGATAAATTAACGTAAGAATACTCTCTTAATTAAGAAGATTAGTGTTTACTGCTTACAAGGAGTCTACTATAACGGGTAAAACTTACATTAGAATTGTCAGTGTTTGATCTTAAGTTTTTATTCTCAATCTACCACCTAAATACCAACTAAGCTATCCATGTAGGTGTTTGTGAAATTTTTTTGAAAGTCTCAGACCTGTTAATTCAACTTAATTTTTTGATCTCATGTAAAAAAGCGAGGATGGATCTGGTCTATCCATTTAGGTATATCGACGGTTGAAAGTTGCTAAAAAATTAGGGGAAAGTGAGTCTAGTCAGTTTATAAATATTGCAACTTAAAAGTTTACAATAATTATAAAACTAACCCTGTAGGTGAGAAGCGTGGACAACTTTGATTCGTCTATATATATAGTAGATCTAACGATTGTAAAATAAAGAAAAATATGAAAAATGTGTGGTGTCATTTCTGTAAATATAGTTGTCCATCTAGAAACATATGCTTGACAGTGTATTTGGAAACTCTTTTAGTGCACTTCGTTCTTATGGGTTTTTGAGGAGCGCACAAAATTCTATGAAAGAGTCTCAGGAGCTAGGATGCATACTAGTTTCATAGAATCGGGTGGAGTGACACAAGATCTTCTTCTTGACATGTGTTGAGATACAGATTCCGTCATACAACAATTTGCTTCTAATATCAACGAATTAGAGGAAATGTCAACTAACAACCGTATCTAGAAACAACAACTAGTAGATATTAGTAACAAGCAAAAGAATTGGATTTAGTGATGTAATGTTAGAGGTGGGATTTGCAAAAAGAAACACTTTGATAACGCATTTTGAAAAGAGTGTCCAAATGCATTATCAGTTATCCGCCAATACACTTTCAAATTTTCCAAATGCCCAATCTTAATAATTACAATAAATGTCACTGCATTTTTCTTATTTTTCTTTATTTTTAACCGTTAGATTTACTTGATCGATAAATAATATTTATCCACACTTCTCACCTGAAGAGTTGTCCACATGAGAACTAAGCCTATATATATGCATTTCACTTTCGAAAATAGCTTCTCTATTAGTGTCTCGCTGGAAAGATTCAAACGGTAATGAAGAATATTAGAAAAAGATTTCTATAGAATTAATTAGGGGAAGAAAAATTAAGTTTGTAGAGTTTATGATATAGAAAAGTTTTGTAGAGTTTATGCATAAACTCTTATCAAATCGTGCTTAATGATTCATTGGTTTTAATGATTCGTTGGTAACGAATCATCGATGCTTATCAAATCGTGCTTAACGATTTGTTGGGTTTTATACAAATCGTGCACCAAGAATTGTTGCTTAACGATTTGTTAAATTGTGTACAACGTAACTCGTGTTCAATAATTCGTGGAAGTAATAATTCGTTGCATGTTTCTTTGCACGTATTGTTAGATGGTTCATAGCATAATTCGTTGGCTTTGTACGGATGAGAATATAATTGTGTTGTATTCAATAATAATGTTTAAGAGTACAGGGACCAAATATATAGAGATGCTAGATAGAATCCTAGTCTAACACGAATAATATAGTCCTAGTCTAATATGAATAATATAGTTCTAATACTCCCCCTCAAGCACAAGGTTGGCTAGCCAAAACATTGAGCTTGTCACGGAGAGAGTTAAAACGAAGAGACGACAAAGACTTTGTGAAAATATCTGCTAGTTGATCCTTGGTTGAAATAAAGTGCACTTCTAACTCCTTTTTGGCTACTTTATCGCGAACAAAATGATAGTCAATCTCAATGTGCTTCGTGCGGGCATGAAACACTGGATTGGCACATAAATAAGTAGCTCCCAAATTATCACACCGTAGTCGAGGAGGAGACGCAGGCGGGATGCCGATTTCATGTAACAGAGAAACGAGCCATGTAACTTCTGCAGATACATCAGCGAGTTCCTTGTATTTTGCTTCAGTCGAAGAACGTGCCACAGTCCGTTGCTTCCGACAAACCCAAGATATAAGATTACTGCCCAAGAACACAGCAAAGCCACTAGTAGATTTGTGGTCATTCGGATCGCCAGCCCAATCTGAGTCAGAATAGTCGTGAATATCCATAGATGTAGACCGAGAAATACGCAGGCCAAGATTCAGGGTGCCTTTGACATACCGCAGGACTCTCTTTAGATATGTCCAGTCTGTAGTAGTGGGAGCATGGATATGTTGACATAATAGATTAACAGCATAAGATAGATCCGGACGAGTTACCGTAAGATACTGGAGAGCACCAGCAAAACTCCTGTATTGTGTTGGATCGGCATAGGGAACGGCCACGTCGTCTGTGATTTTCGCAGAAGAGACATGCGTGATTACTGGCTTGCAGTCCACCATGCTAGCACGTTTGAGAATATCCTTCATGTACCGTTGTTGGGATAAAAGCACACCGCCAGATAACAGGACAGTTTCTATTCCCAAGAAGAAAGAAGGCACACCCATTCACGAACCTTAAATTCAAGTGCTAATTTATCAATAAGAGCAGTAACACGATCTGAGTCAGAACACATAATTAAAATGTCATCAACATACACCAAGAAATAAAGACGAATATTGTCACGAGAATAGATAAAAAGAGACACATCCGTCTTAGAAGGCAAGAAGCCCACAGAGACAAGAAAATCATGTAGCTTTGTGAACCATGCACGTGGAGCCTGTTTGAGACCGTATAGAGATTTTTTATGCAAACATACATGATTAGCTAACGACTTATCCTCATAACCAAGCGGTTGTCGCATGTAAACACTTTCAGCTAGCTCACCATTTAAAAAGGCGTTGTGAATATCCAATTGTCGAATAGACCACCCACGAGATACGGCTAAAGATAAGAGAAGACGAACCGTAGTGGGCTTAACCACAGGACTAAAGGTCTAAAAAAAGTCCTCTCCAGCAACCTGATTAAAACCCTTGGCTACTAACCTTACTTTATGACGGTCTATTGAACCATCGGCCTTCCGTTTGGTTCTGAAAACCCACTTGCAACCAACAACATTCATACCTGGTTGAGATGGAACGAGACGCCACGTATGATTATGGACCAAGGCATTGAACTCCGCATCCATTGCATCATGCCACTCAGGAAACTTGACCGCCTGAGAGTAACAGGTAGGCTCAGGCAATATAGTGGAAATAGTGGTTAAGGCAACATATTGATGCGGGCCGGAGCTGCGAGTGTTCGTGTTATGCGACCGAGGAGGCGGAGTAGCATGTCGAGGACGTCCGCGCGGCCTTCCGCGGTGCTCAACCTGCTGGTCCGAGACAGTCCGCTCACTCGATGCGGATTGCTCGTGACTGTGACCGGCATCATCGCCAGAAGCCCCCACGGGCTCGTGAATCTGCCGAGCGCCATCAGTAATCGTGGTCGAGACATCATTTACTTGGCCCGTCACAATTGGTGCAGTAGCCCACGGTTCGGAACGCGGTGTAGCAACCTGCGAGGCAATAGGAGAAACAAAGGGAAACACAATCTCATCGAATCGCACGTGGCGACAGATAAAAACCTTGTTAGTATTAGTGTCCAAACAACGATAGCCACAATAAGACAGAGGATAGCCTAGAAAGACACAGGGAGATGAACAAAATTGTAGTTTATTGCAATTATAAGGACGTAGGACAGGAAAACACAAACAGCCAAACACTCGTAAGTAAGAGTAGGACGGGGGAGATCGATGTAAATGGAAGTGAGGGGACTCATCAGACAGAAAACGAGTAGGAATTTTATTAATTAGATACACAGCAATTTCAAAAGCATAGTCCCAAAAACGAGACGGGACAGATGCTTGAGCCATTAAAGACAGCCCTGTCTTAACAACATGACGATGCCTGCGTTCCACTCGACCATTTTGCTCGTGAGTATACGCACAGGATTGCCTGTAGCGAATACCCAGCGAAGCAAGAGTGGAACCAAGCTTTTTATATTCTCCCCCTAAATCAGATTGAAAGGAAATAATCTTGCGAGAAAAAGAACGTTCAACGAGTGACCGAAACTTATCAAATATAGCATACAAATCAGATTTAGCACGCATGGGATAATACCATATATAACGAGTGTAATCATCCACAAGCAACACAAAATATTTATAGCCAGACGTAGAAAGTAATGGCGTCGGGCCCCAAATATCTGAATAAATTAATTCCAAAGGATGTGTACTAGTAGTTTCGACACGAGTCAAAGGAAAACGAGAGTATATTTTCCCAATTGACAATAGGAACAGGCATTGGGAAGATCACTAGAATTTAATTTACCAATAGACGAAGACGTTAAAATTTTACGTAAGACTCTAGAATGAGGATGCCCCAACCGCATGTGCCAAACGTAAGAGGATCACGCAGAAACAAACGCAGCAGGAGCTGAGGAGGACGCAGGTCATGTGTAGAGACCCTCAGACGCATGTCCCTTAAAAAGAACCTTCCTGGTCAAAATGTCCTTCACATAGAAACAAAAGGGGTGAAACTCAAAGAAAACATTATTGTCTTTTGCAAAACGCTGGACAGACAATAGAGAAGAAGAGAGACCAGGGAATGTAAAACATCATGTAACTTAAAAAACCTAGAATCAGTAGCTAACGAAGCGGAACCAACATTAACAATAGGCAAACATGTACCACTGCCAACTCGCAGAGTCTTCGGGCCATCATAACGTGTCGCAGAAGTTATCAAAGAAGAACCAGACGTAGCATGATTTGTTGCACCAGTGTCAGGGAATCACTGATGATGACCGTTGGAATCACCATTATCACTAGAGACGGCCACATTAGCCTGAAAACCAGGAGCCCCTGAATAACGCCAAAAACAGTTGGCTCCCGTGTGACCAAAACATTGACAAATTTGACAAGGATCATCATAGCGCCAAAAACAATTGGCTCCCGTGTGACCAAAATGTTTACAAATTTGACAAGGATCATCATAGCGCCAAAAACAATTGGCTCCCGTGTGACCAAAACATTTACAAATTTGACACTGATCATCAATGCCACGTCGTTGACTGGACCGCTTCTCATACAGTGTATCTTGGTTCGATGTCATCGGCTACTGCTACGAAGCGAGGTGACGCCGTGTGCGGTGGAACATGGATGTTGGAAAGGAAACCCTAGCTAACTGATACCAGATGAGAATATAATTGTGATGTATTCAATAATAATGTTTGAGAGTACAGGGAGCGAATATATAGAGATGCTAGATAGAATCCTAGTCTAACACGAATAATATAGTCCTAGTCTAATATGAATAATATAGTTCTAATAGTACATACACGCAGGGGCGGAGCCAGGATTTGTTGGTGCGGGGGGGGGGGGGGGGGGGGGGGGGGGGCGGATCACGTTCTAATGCTTGAATATCAAACTGATTTCAACTCTTTGAGCTTTTTCAGGATGACTTTCAAAATTCAATGGTTCAATACTTGAAAATTGATTTACTTGAGATGTTGAATCTTCAGAATTCTTTCTTTTAAAGAAAAGATCAGTTCTTTGTGTCTTTTTCATTTCAACTTAATCTTCTCATGTTCGTACGGTTAATTTTTTTGACAAATCAATTAAATTAACTAAAACAAAATGAAAAAAGAAGAAATAGAGGAAGATTAAAGTAATAGAAATTTAAAGATTTTGGTAGCAAAATGACAGTTTATTATTATGATAAACACAATTGTAATGATACTAAAAAGAAAAACACACAATTTTAATGTATTTCATTTTCCTTAGCACTTAGCAAAGAACATATAGTAGTACACTACTTTACACTCATTTTCATTATGCACTAGTATTCAAATCATTAAGCACTTATAACATACACAGTAATTACATACTACAGTCATTTTCAAAACTCATCAAATGACCTAATTTCAAACTCATCAAATGCCCATTTAGCCATTTCATTATGATTTATGCACTAGTATTCAAATTCTAGCAAATCCTATTAAACTTTTAAAGTATAAACAAACACTAACCAAAGGAGAAGTGGAGAATACTGACACTCGTAGCCGGTAGCCCGAGTTTACCGTGGTTGCCGTCGTGAGTCGTCAACTGAGGAAACGAAAAGAGGATTTAACTATTTAGGCATTTACCCCAAGCTTACCGCGGTTGTTATAACTTGTGAAGATGATGAGTCCATTTCCAATAAAGATTAATTCATAAAAAAAAATCAAAAATTTAAAGAATAAAAAGGAAATAGAAAATTACCCATATACTTACAAGTAAAAAATTGAAGAGAATTTGTTGTTTAGAATATTTTCCGCGTCTGCCGGTCAGCGTACTGTATTTGCTTTTTTTATTTGTAAATTTGGAATTTGAATGTTTGAGAATTTAGATGATTTGCTTACTCTGGAAGTATTCTTTTAGGTGGAAAATGTTTGGTGGGCCACACTCCCACATAATGGCACTAGCTTAGCTATTATAATACTAACTAATAAAAAAATAAAAATTGAGGGGGGCCAAGCCGCAATGTCCATGAGGTGCAGCTTTGCTGCTCTATACTAACGTTAAAAATAATTTCTCTTGGGAGGGGCCAAGGCCCCCTCTTATTATCAGGTGGCTCCGCCCCTGCATACACGTAGGGGTAATCGCGGTTTCGATTCCGGTTTCACAATAGGACAAATCGGAACCGGAACCTTATAGTAAGATTCTGATTCCGATTTCAGTTCAGAACCGGCGGTTCCAAGTTTCAGTTGGAACCGTCGGTTCTAACCGGATTTATTAAAAAAATAATAATAATAACACTATAATTTTTAATTTTTTCCGCTTTAGAACCAGAACTGCCGGTTCTGGTTTCTTTTCATCTCGAACCTTAACCGGAATCATATTGGTTCCGGTTAGGAACCGAAACCGGAAACATACGAACGGTTCAATTTCAATTTCGGTTCAACAGTGCACAGTTCGGTTCGAACCGAACTATGATCATGCCTACATACACGGCTCGCGAAGTGTTGTTTCCTTCCTTGGATAAAGATATTGTCAACTCGATGGATTATGCATATATATATATATGCATTTGGTTGACTAAGGAATTGGATAAGGAATTGGGTTGACTGCATGCGAGTGGAGTAAGTTTGATATATTATATATGTATATATTATATATTATATTATTTATTATTTTGCATGGTGATATGCATTGAAGTAATAAATATAATATATATATATATATATATATATATATATATATATATATATATATATATATATATATATATATATAGTTTTTTCCCAAAATGGTCCCTGACTATCGCTCATTCTTAATTTTGCATTTTGACTTTTAATTGCACCCAATATGGTCCCTTGACCTTTAAAAATTACCCCAAATCGATCTTCCGTTAGAAATTTCGTCTATTGAGTGTTAAAATGAAGGGCATTTTCGTCCGTTTACCTATTATGTGCCTAATATACTCTGAAAAATAGTCGAGGGACCATTTTGGGAATAGTCGAGGGATCATTTTGGGAAAAACTCATTTAT